TTTGCGAGTTATACCCCTCTGGTGGGCGGGTTGGGGCACAGTGGGGGTGGTGGGGGGAACAGGCGGGAGCGCATGGCCATGGCTGGGAAGATCGTGCCTCAGCTAGTGGGCTATGTGATTTTCTTTAAGCAGGCTGGCACTGCAGTGCTTATAACGGATTGCAGCAGCCCGGAGGAAGCTGCTGCGCTGCTTCCTATCGCGTCGGTTTGCAGTGGGTGCGAGGAGGGTGCTGATGGGGAAGGGGAAGGGGGAGGGGGAGAAGGAGAGGCAGAAGGAGGGGTGGGTGGGAAGAGAGGAAGGAGGAGGTTGTGCCACTGTGGTAGTGGGTTCAAGGTAGGTGGTAAGGCAGGAGTGTGTAGCGCTGCTACTGTAGCTACTGCTCCTGTTGGTGGTGTTGCATGCAATGATAAGACTGCCGCTGCCGCCGCCACCTCTGCTGGTGCCGCTGCTGCAGTTTCTGCCTCTGCAGCATCGGCTACTCATGCCTTTCATGCTGATCATGTGTCTGTGTCTATGGTGCCAAGTGTCAACACCTCAGCAGCCCTTGGCCCTCTCACTGTGGCCTTCCACCTCAGCTCGCGCGCTGTGCTGGCATCGCCAGCTCATCGCATGCTCGTTGACAGGCTGGCAACGCCACGTGTGCTCACAGAGGGGCTCACTGTCCCTGACTCATGTGGCCTCTCCCAGCCAATGTCAAACCCTGCCAAATTAGGGTTTGCGGGTCTTGGAAATCAAAGCAATGCCCAGCAGCAGCAGCAGTGGCAGCAGCAGCAGCAGCAGCAGCAGCAGTGGCAGCAGCAGCAGCGACAACCGATGTTCCAGCAGGCTCGGGAGGAGCTGCGTTTGCAGGCGCAGCCACGGCTGGAGGTGAGGCAGGTGCTGGTGCGAGGTGGGCCCAAGGAGTATGGTTTCATCAGCACTCTGAAGCAGCTGTGCCGCCTGCATTCCCTCGACCCTGCGGCCTTCCCCTTGCCGCCGCAGCAGCAGCATCAGCTGCAGCTACAGCGGCAGCGGCAGCAGCAGCAGCAGCAGCAGCAGCAGGGATACAGAGGCATGGGGGAAGGGAAAGGGGAACGGGCGTGGGTGCTGCCGGGCTGGCAGGGAGGTAGGGATGATGCTGTTGCTGAGGCGAGAGCCAGGCTGTTGCTAAGTGGGGGAGGGGCAGGTGTAAGGACTGGTATGGAGGAGGGAACGGAGGAGGAGGGTGAGGGGGGGAGAGAGGAGGAGGAGGAGGAGGATTTAGATGAGGGGGTGTTAGGGTGTGGAGGGGGAAGTAACGGTGGTGTGGTGGCTGGGAGGTTGCAAATGCAAGTTCTGATTGGCGTTGGAGAGATGGTTGAGGATGGCGTGGGCGGGAGCAAGGAAGGGGCAGCAGTGGGTTTCGGAGGAGTGGAGGGGGGAGCGGAGGAGGGAGGGCAGGGGTGGGGCGGGAGAGGGTGGGGATGTTGGGGGAACCGTAGGGTGGTTCGGGCATGTGTGAGTCATGAAAAGTGCCCTGAGGTTGTGAATCCTGTGAAGGTTTGGGAAGAGGTGGCTGGGAGATCGATGCGGGAGGAGGAAGAGGAACTAAGGAAGAGAGATAGGGAGGATTATAGGGAGAAGGTTTGGAGGCCTACAGGGAAAGCGAGGGAGGTGGCGAAGGAGAGGGAAAGGGAGAAGGAGATGAGAAGGGAGATGGAGAGGAGAAGGGCGCTGGAGAGGCAAAGGGAGAAGGAGAGGAGACGGGAGATGGAGAGGAGAAGGGCGCTGGAGAAGGAGAGGAAAAGGGAGAAGGCAAGGGTTCATGCAGAGACGATGAGAAGGAATAAGGAGAGGAAAAAGGAGAAGGCGAGAATTCATGCGGAGGCGATGAGAAGGATTAAGGAGAGGAATAAGTTGGCAAAGTTAACGAGGGAGGAGATTGGAAAGGAGAAGATGAGACTAAATCAGAATGCGATAATTAGGGAGAAGTCGAGGAAACGGGCAGAGGAGAGGGCAATAGAAGAGAGGCAAAGGGCGGAGGAGAGGGAAAGGGAGAAGGAGAGGGAAAGTGCGAATACAACAGAGGGGAGGGAAAGGGAGAAGGAGAGGGAAAGGGAAAAGGGAATGAAACTCGACATGAAAATGGCAAAAAGGAAGAGAGCGAAGGAGAAGAAGCGAGCAAAACGGGACGAAGAGAGAGAGCGACAGCTGCAGGAGGCACTGAAAGGGGGTGAGGGACGAGATGATGGGGCAGAGGGTGGGAAGGAGAAGGAAGAGATGCTGCGTAGTCTTAAATGGACGGCCCACCGAATCCAGAAGTTAGAGGAGAGATTGAAGAACAAAGGGGGGAAGAGTGGAAAGTGGTCTAAGAAGCGAGAGAAGAGGACTTTGAGACGGCTGGAAATGCGAAAGGCGGAACTGGCGGAACTGGAGGCAGCACTAGGTGAAGCAGGGGAGAAGGGGCAAGGTGAAGCAGGGGAGAAGGGGCAAGGTGAAGCAGGGGAGAAGGCGCAAGGTGAAGCAGGGAAGATGGCGCAAGGTGAAGCAGGGGAGAAGGGAGAGATACTGAGTGGTATAAAATGGACGGCCAAACGAATCCTGAAGTTAGAGGAGAGATGGAAGACCCAAGGGGGAGAGAATGGACTGTTGTCCAACAAGCAAGAGAGGAAGGTTTTGAGACGGTTGGAAATGCGAAAGGCGGAACTGGCGGCTCTGGAGGCAAAGCTAGGTGAAGCAGGGGAGAAGGCGCGAGGTGAAGCAGGGGAGGGGAGGGGCGCGGGGACCAATGTGAGCGATGTGAGTGCTGGAAAGGAATGGGTGGAGAGTGCAAAGGTGGAGCAGGGAAGCAAGGGAGTGACTGGAAAGGGAGGTATTGTGGTTGCGCAGTGGAAAGGTGTGAAGCTTGCAGCTGCTGTGGCAGTGGAGAAAAAGAATAAGAAGAAAAGGAAGAATAGGAAAAGGAAAAAGAACAAGGGGGGGGAGGAGGAGGTGGAGGAGGAGGTGGAGGAGGAAGAGGTGGAGGAGGAGAAAGAGGAGGAGAAAGAGGAGGAGGAGGAGGAGGAGGAGGAGGAGGAGGAGGAGGAGGAGGAGGAGGAGGAGGAGGAGGAGGAGGAGGAGGAGGAGGAGGAGGAGGAGGAGGAGGAGGAGGAGGAGGAGAAGGAGAAGAAGGAGGAAGAGAGAAAAGGAAAGAAAAAGGAGGAGGATAAAGAGAAGGAGAAGGAGGAGAAGAATGGCAGGCAGGTGGGAGCGAGTGATGGTGGGCATACCAGTGTGGGGAGGACAGGGGTACTGGAGTGGTGGTGGGACGTACGGGGGAATGAGGGTGTGGGCCGAAGGAGGGGAGGTGAGGGCGAGGGAGTCAAGGAGGCTGAGGGAAGGGGTGGGGCTGCTGTTGCTGTGGGGGCTGCTGTGGCGACTGGTGCGACTGCTGGGGGGAATGATGTGGGTACTGGAACGGAGGTGACTTCTGAGACGTCTCAAAAGTCGTCTGCTGCGGGGACTGGTGCAGGGAATGGTGTGGGTACTGGAACGGAGATGGTGGCTGTGATGGTGCGGAATGAAGAGGAGATTGAACTAGATGAGGAGCAAGAGGAGGAGGAAGAGAAGGAGGAGGAGGGAGGGGAGAAGGGAGGAAAGGTGGAGGGAAGGGGGAGAAGGGGGATTGGTGTGGGTATTGGAACGGACGTGGTGGCTGTGACGATGCGGAATGAAGAGGAGATAGAACTAGATGAGGAGGAGGAAGAGGAGGAAGAGGAAGAAGAAGAGAAGGGGGTGGAGGGAGGGGAGAAGGGAGGAAAGGTGGAGGGGGGAGAGAAGGGGTCTTGTTCTTTACCTGCGAAAGATTCGTTTTCTTTACCTGCCAAGGAATCCTCTTCTCTACCTGCTGAGGACGCTTCTTCTGCTGTACCTGCGAAGGAAGTTACTCCTCAACATGCAATCGAACTGTCTTCTCAACCTGCAAAGGAAAGTTTTTCTGCAAAGGAAAATTCTGCTGCACTTTCAAAGGAGATTGCTGCTTCATCTGCAAATGAATCCTCTTCTCTACTTGCAAAGGTGTCACCGCCACCGAAAAATTATGGGTGTTCACTGTCAGCCGATGTGTCTCCTGATTCGGCCAATAAGTCAGCAGCACAGAGGATAAGGGAAGCTCTGAGCAGGGGAAAGGGGGCTGGAGCAGACACAGCAGGGCAAAAGACCGTCGCACGGCAGTTGCTACCCGTTCTGCAAGTGCCAGAAGTGCCGCAATCACCAGAAGTGCCGCAGTCGCCACAAGAACCACTAGTGCATGTGGCAGCAACGGCAGCAGCAAGAGCAGCAAGAGCAGCAGCAGCAGCAACAGCGGCAGCAGAAACAGCGGCAGCAGCAACAGCGGCAGCAGAAACAGCGGCAGCAGCAACAGCGGCAGCAGCAGCAGCAGTGCCGGCCTCAGTGGCACGGCCAGCGGCAGCGGCAGGAGCAGCAGTATCGCCCACAGTGGCAGCTGCAGCAGCAGCCGTAGCAGTGGCAATGACGGGAGGAGGATCCCCTTCTAAACCTTGTAAACCTTCTAAACAAGAAGTGCCGCCATGGCTTCGTCATCGGCCCCCATTACCGGTGATCCCACCATCGGTGATCCCACCATTGGTGATCCCACCGGTGATCCCACAGGTCGGCCTCCCACCACCAGCAGTGCCACCACCAATGTCGCGGTCACCCCTGCCACAACCGTCAGTGCTGCAACCGAACCTGCCACAACTGTCAGTGCTGCAACCGAACCTGCCACAACCACCCTTGTCGCAGCCACCCCCGCCACAACCACCTCTGCCGCAACCGCCCCTGCTGCGACCGAACCTGTCCCAAGTGCTGCAAGCGTCAGTGCCGCAACCGCCGCTGCCACAGCCGCCCTTGCCACAACCCTTGCAACAGCCACCAGTGATGCAACCACACCTGCCACAACCACCCCCGCTGCAGCCACCCCTGCCACGACCAACCCTGCCACACCACATACCACCACCTTGGTTTGCTGCGCGTACACCTGCTGTTACACAGTTACCACCTCCCACAGCAGCAGCACATACAGCAGAACGAGCCTCTTGGATCAACCACGTGCCACCACCACCGCAAATTTCTCTGCAAAACCAGCCGAGATATGTGCCGGCAGCACCCCCTAGTTTTGAGACGACTCAAAACCAGCCGAGACATGTACCGGCAGCACCCCCTTCACAGGGCCCGTATCCTCCCATAAATGCCCCCATGCATCCTCCCACAGGCGAGCCCATGCATCTGAGATTTGAGTCTACTCAAAGGCCAGGACCCACTGCACTGGGTCAGTATCCTCCCTTGAGTGCGCCCATGCAGCCGTGTTTTGAGTCTATGCAAAGACCGGTGCCCTCTTCGTTGGGTCAGCATTATCCTCCCATGGGTGCACCCTTGCATCCGAGTTTTGAGTCAACTCAAAGACCAGCACCCTTAGCACCCCCTTCGATGGGTCAGCAGTATCCTCCCATGGGTGCTCCCTTGCATCCGTTGCCTTTCCACCCTGTGCTGCCGATAGCACCAGCAGCACCAGCAGCCACAGCTCCAGCAGCAGCAGCACCACTAGCACCACCACCACCACCACCACCACCAGCAGCAGCAGCAGCACCACCACCACCACCACCATCACCACCAGCACCAGCACCAGCACCAGCACCAGCACCAGCACCAGCACCACCAGCACCAGCACCAGCAGCAGCAGCAGCACCACCAGCACCAGCAGCAGGTGTCCCTCCGAGGCTTGCGGCACCACCACCGCTTTTCCCGCGGTTGCGGGCTCGTATGGCAGGAGCGAAAGTTCCTTCTCCTGCTCCTGCTCCTGCTCCTGCTCCTGCTCCTGCTCCTGCTCCTGCTCCTGCTCCTGCTCCTTCTCATTCTCCTGCTCCTTCTCCTTCTCCTGCTCTTGCTCCTGCTCCTGCTCCTGCTCCTGCTCCTGCTCCTGCTCCTTCTCCTTCTCCCTCTCCTTCTCCTGCTCCTGCTCCTGCTGTGCCTGCTCCTGTCGCGCCTGCTGTTGCAGTTGCCTCTGCTGCTTTTCCTGCACCACTAAACAGAAATCAGGCCGCATCGCCTCCTCACCCCCCTCCCTCCCCCTCCCCTCCTCCAAATCCTCTTACCACTTCCAATCCTCCTCCGAGCAATGCTCCCATTTGCCCATTAGAAGTGACCTTCCTTGGTACAGGCTCAGCCGAGCCTGACAGGCTTCGGGGAGCCAGCGGCATTCTGCTTCGGTCAACAGTGACAGGCCAGAACGCTTTGCTGGATGCAGGTTCGGGGACGCTGGGGGCGCTCAAGCGGAGGTTCGGGGAACGGCAGGTTTGGGACGAGCTTCGGCGGCTGTCTGTGGTTTGGGTGTCTCACAAACATGCAGACCACATGCTAGGGCTTGTGCCGATCCTGTTTGGGTACCAAGAGGCTCAGGAGAGAGGTAGGAAGATCAACGGCTTTGGGCGCTACTGTCAGTGCAAGTTTCCAAAAGCTGATCTGCAGAAGGGCAAGCAGCACAGGGAGAGACATTGCCGAGAAAAGAGACGTCGGGTGGGGGATGGAGGAGGAGTAAGTGACAAGCAGGGTACGGGAAGTGAGCCGAACGACAGGGAGGATGGAAAACTAAGCAGTGGTTTGAATGATGAGAAGGAGGAGGAAGTGGAGGAGGGAGAGAGAGAGTGGGGCTGCTCTGTGTGTGGGAAGGCGATTCAGAAAGGCAGGAGCAAGAGCTATAGCAGGGCGGAAGATTTGGAGAAGCAGCAGCAGCAGAGCGGAAGGAAGAGGGAGAGGGAGTGGGGTAGGGAGACGGAGAGGGAGAGGGATAGGGAGAGCGGGAGGTGGAAGGGAGTTGGGGCTGCGCATGTGGATGTGAGCAGAGGAGCAGTGGCAACAATTTCTGTCAAACCGTTGCTCATTGTTGGTCCTTATTTGGCTGAAAGATGGCTTACCGAGGTGAAGCAAATGCATCTCTCTTTCTCTTTTTCTCTCTTCCTCCCTCCTTTCCTCATGTCTGGTGTTCTCCCCCTTCCTCCCGTCCTTTTCCAATCTTGCCTTCTGTTTCGCCTTCCTTTCAACCCCAATTCTCTCCCCTGTCCTCCCCTACACGCTCTGCTCTTATCTTCAAACGCTCATTTCTGCTTTTGTTTTTTTTTCTCTCGGCCAACGTTTCCCTCTTATCCTTCTCAAATCTCTCTAATTCTTAAATACCACCAGTTCGTGTTTCCACCCCACTCTCTCACGTTCGTATCAAATCCAGCCTCGTTTCCTTTCCTCCCCATCCACCTCCTAGCTTCGTTTCTCTCTGTTGTGTGGCAGATACTTGCAGCATATTCGGCGACGTCACTGCCCTTAGAGTTTCGAAAATGTCTGAAAACCCCAAACCACCTTCACCGACCCCCCGTTCTCTCGCCTGTGTGGCAGATATGGCCACATACTCAATGGCGTCGCTGGTTGTTTTTGAGAATTCTCAGAAACAGCCTGTAGAGTTCTGAAACGTCCCAAAATCCCAACCACCAACCCCCACTCCCATTCTCTCGCCTGTGTGGCAGATATCGGCAGCGTATTCGGCGGTGGCGCTGCCCTTCCCTCCGTACCACTTTGTGCACTGCAGCAACTTCAGTGTGTTCTCTCGCTCCGTGCCGCCGCACAGCAGAGGTGCGAGGGACCGGCAGCACCAGCATCAGCACCACCATCATCACCATCAGCATCGTCATCAGCATCATCAGCAGTTTGGTGTTTCTGTGGACTATTTGAAGCAGCGAATGCTAAAGCAGCTGGGCTTGAGCAATATCAAGGTGACGTTTCCCCGTAACCAGACCAGTTGATTCAAGTTCTTGTCATTGCTGCTGCTGTCGTTGTTGTTGTTGTTTTTTTTTTTTGCTTGTTTCAGTCTTCACTTGCTTGTCCGATTTCCAGCCTTTAACCCCTCGTGTCAATCACTTCTCTTCTCCTCTCGTTTTCTTTCTTTCGCTCACCTCTCCGCACCTCGTTTCTCCAATCCTCTCTTGATTCTGTCCACATCACGCTGTTCTTGTTTCTCCTGTCCTTTCTCTTCTTCTCACTTCTCCAATGCCCCCTGCCATTCTGCCCACTTCTCATTCAACGCAACCCCCCCTTCTCCTCCCATGCCATCCCCTCCCCTTCATTGTCACCCCCCCATCTCCTCCACCGATGTCTCTTAAAAGTCATCTTTTTTATTGTCATCTCCTCAAGCTTTCTCCTCTGTGTTCCCTTCGTCGTGTGCTGTCCTGCCAGGCTGTTCCGGCCATTCACTGTGCCGACTCTTGGTCTCTGATTCTATGGGGCCCAGTTCCCCCCACTGCCACACACACAGCATCCGCCCCCCCTCCTCTCACTGCTGCTCCGGCTGCTCCTCACCAGGATGCTGAGAAGCAAGGACGAGAAAGGGAAGAGGTTGCAGTGGGAAGGAGGGAGGAGAAAGGTTCAGGACGGTTTCATTCGGCAGAAGAAGCAAGCGAGGAGCGAGAGCAGCAGCAGCAACCAGTGGCGCAGCAGCAGCAGCAGGGAGTGCAGATGCGTTTGGAGGATCCTCAAACCCCGTTTTCACCTCATGTAGAGTTGCAACCTAGGGGCATGCCGCATGAGGTGCAGCAGGCGCGTGTGCAGGGAGGAAACGAGCAGATGCAGACCGGCTCACTGCCAGGTGTGCAAGGTCTCACCTTGCACGGTCAAGCAGCAGTGCACGTTCAGACACATGGTCTCATGCAGCCGCCGCCCAGTCACATGCCGCCGCCGCCCGGTCACATGCTGCCGCCGCCCGGTCACATGCCGCCGCCGCCCGGTCACATGCCGCCGCCGCCTGGTCACGTGCCGCCGCCCGGTCACATGCCGCCGCGACCCGGTCCCATGCCGCCGCCGCCCGGTCACATGCCACCGCCGCCCGGTCACATGCAGCCGCTACCGAATCAGATGCAGCCACCACAAGATCAGATGCGACCGCCGCCCAATCATCTGCAACTAAATCAAATGCCTCCGCCACCCAATCACATGCAGCCCAATCCCATGCATATGCCACCGAATCAGATGCAATTGCCGCCCAGTCACATGGAGACACCGTACAATCACATGCAGTTGCCGCCCAATCACATGCACCCGCCGCCCAATTACATGCAGCCGCCGACCAGTCAGATGCATTCATCGTGGAATCAGATGCAGCCGCCGCCCAATCAGATGCAGCCGCCGCCTAATCAGATGCAAATGCAGCCTTGGTCGAACCTGCCCCAAACGCAAATGCATCCGCATCAGTACCAACAGCACCAGCACACTCAACACCAGCACCAGCAGCAGCAGCACCAGTACCAACACTGGCAGCAGCACCAATATCAACAGCAGCAGCAGCAGCAGCAACAGCAGCAGCAGCAGCAGCAGCAGCAGCAGCAGCAGCAGCAGCAGCAGCAGCAGCAGCAGCAGCAGCAGCAGCAACAGCAGCAGCAGCAGCAGCAGCAGCAGCAGCAGCAGCAGCAGCACCAGCAGCAGCAGCAGCAGCAGCAGCAGCTTCCTCCTCACACACTTGTGATCACAGCTACTGAGGAGCCACCCTATCCAGGGCAGCTAGTAGTGCACGCAACACAGGCAGGGCCTGTCAGCATGCGTGTCCACGGCGCCCGTCCGCAGCAGCAGCAGCAGCAGCAGCAGCAGCAGCAGCAGCAGCAGCAGCAGCACCAGCACCAGCAACATCTTCAGAACCATCCCCACTACCACCAACATGAGAGGCCACGAGTTCGAATCCAGCTGGAGGTGGAATTACAACCGCAGGGGGTGCCAATCTTGCTGCATGTGGATCCACAGGGCCAGGTGAATCTTCAGGTGATGCCACAGTCTGCCACAGCCCCACCACCCGAAGCTGCGCCAGGCATAGGACCTCCAGGGAGTTTCAGAGGTTTCGGAGGGTCAGCATGGCCTGCGGTGGGATCAGGGCCGCAGGTGGCAACAGAAATGGGTGCTCAGGAAATGCAGATGGAGCAGGGGCAGTTGCTGCTGCAGGGACCCCAGCAGCAGCAGCAGCAGCAGCAGCAGCAGCAGCAGCAGCAGCAGCAGCAGCAGCAGCAGCAGCAGGCACAGCCGTTGCAGCAGCAGAGGGGTTACCAGGCCAACCATAACCAGCAGACCGACCAAATTCCATGGCAACTCCAGCAGCAGCAGGACCAGCAGCAGCACCGCCAACACCATCAGCTGCAGCAACAGCAGCAGCAGCAGCAGCAGTCACCCTTCTCGCAAGCCCCAATGGCAGACAAGCAGCAGCGCGGTCCCAATTCCTATGCCACCTACGAGCAAACAGAGCGACAGATACAACTCCAGACAACCTCCCACACCACCACACGCACCACCACACGCACCACCCACTCCTCCTTCAAATCAACCACTACGATTGCCACACACAACACCACAATCAACACCTACACCACTGCAAACAATAACAGCAACAACAACAACGCCAGCAGCAGCAGCTTGACGTGGTCGTTTGCTTACTCTGGAGACACGCGGCCCAACGACGTTTTCGCTCGGGAAGCAGTGGGGTGCACGCTGCTGGTGCACGAGGGGACGTTTGCATGCGAGAACGTGGAGGACGCGCGGGGCAAGCTGCATTCGACGGTGGAGGAGGCAGTGGGTGTGGCGAGGAAGATGCTTGCAGAGCAGGTCATTCTCACGCACTTCAGCAAGAAGCACCGCCAGGTGAGTGCTCGTGGTGGTGAGATGGCGTGGGGTTGATGGTTGTAGTATCACTTTTAAGAATTCGCTCAGACGAGGAAGATGCTTGCAGAGCAGCTCAGTCCCACACACTTCAGCAAGAGGCACCACGAGGTGAGTTACTGCACTTTCTTTCGACTTGGAGGGATTGTTGTGACACTTGAAATGCCGATTTGAGGGGAAGAACAAGGGGTGGAGTGCGGTGAGGGAGTGAGAGTCATGGTGTTGGCACCGGTGCCTTTTCAATGGCAAGAATTGAGGTGGTTATCCATGAGTGAGAGCTGAAGGCAGAGAGCAAGTTGCAGGCTCTTTTCTACATATGGTATTCATTGAGTCTGTCTGTTGTTGTGAAGGAATGTGAGTGTTGTGATTAGTTTTGAGGCGCCTCAACACTATACTTTTCTATATGGTGTTCATTGAGTCAGTCTGCTGTTGTGAAGTGATGTATCTGTTGTGAGGTGGCTGTGAGAAGAGTAGTATGTCACAAAGGATCTCTTTTTCTGCCTTCCCTCCCACTCCTGCCTGCAGGTTTCCATGCTTGATCCGCGCAGGACAGCCGCACTAGGGCTACGGGCAAGTCGGCAGCAGCAGCGACAGAAAGAGCAACAGGAGCAAGGAAAGCGTTGGGAGACTCAGGAGGAAATGGGAAGGAGGGAGGAGGAAGAACCAGATATGGAGCAGCAGCAGCAGCAGTTGGAGAAGTCAGAGTTGCCGGCAGTGCCTGCAGCGCTGGCCTTTGATGGCATGGTGGTCTTGCCTGCTGCTGCTGCCCGCCTCTCTGCTCTCCAGCCTAGGATCTTCGAGATTCTGGATGGATAGCTTGCTGATTAATATTTGTTCAATGGTTTGCAAGTACCGTTTTGAGCCCCTTGGTCAAAAGCATACTGTACCACATTTCCATTAAGATCATTACATTTCCCTTAAGATCATCAGACCCCCTAGCAGGTTGTTTTTGTCACTGAACTTTGTTCAAGTGTATCTGGCTGTCAAAGAATAATTGCTGCACAATTCTACGGTTCAATGGAAACGAGTTTATTATTGTAAACAGTTTGGTACAACACTCGGCACGATGTTCACAGCGTCAACCCCCCTACTTCCGTCCCTAAAGGAGGTGTTCCTACCTAGTGCGTCTCTTACGGTATCAGGCAAACCTCTTACGGTGTCAAACTTGCCTGATTCAATGCGTCAAACGTTTGAAGTTTATGTTAATTTCAGTGTGTTGTGACGTGACGCAAGCCTGACAAGAGGTTCGCCTGATAAAAGGCCATAGGAACACGCCTTTATCATTGTGTCTTCAGACAACCGTATACATTGTGTCTTTCAGACAACCGTATACATTGTGTCTTCAGACAACAGTATAACATGTTTCACTTTAACTTCCATGTGTGACGACATCACATCTGTCAATGAGTGGTGTGCTGAGACCAAGCCAGCTTATAACACAGTCATTGTAGGTCATGCTTCTACAGTAGTTTGTGAATACCGTAGGTGACGACCATACTGACCTCCCAACATTCGGTTGGGTTGGGTTCCTTGCAAAAAACTATGTTTACAAACTAAGATGTCTCGTAAAATGTGAATGATAGGAATGTCAGATTTCATCTTCATTCAGCAGCATGTTTGGTATACCCTTGGACACGGGAAACTTTCGGCCTGTCTCTGGGCAAATCAGAGCTCCCTCCTCCAAATGAACCTGGACGGGGCAGAGTATCAGTGGTAGCAGAGCAGCGCTAGTATATCAATGAGAACAGGGCCTTGACAATGCGTACACAAACAGACAACCTCAAGGGGCAAAGACAGCCACTGCAAGTCCACTTGTGCACATACGCGCACGCATGGACGTGGGTGGAAGTGTGCACTTCCACGTGGAGGGGGAGAGAGGGAGATACATGTGGGCTTGTGGAGGAAAATAGAGAAAGCACCCATTGCTACTACGAGGAAAATAGAGAAAGCATCTGTCGCTACTACGCTGACGGGGAGAAGGGTATGTGAGAAGAATGGGGCTGGGACAAGGTAGAGAAGGGGGGGGACCAAGGGCAGGAAAAAAGGAGGGGAAAGGTACGGGGGAACGTTGGGAGAAAATTGGGGCGCAGGAAGGCAAGGATATAGGACACGGAGATGGAAAATAGAGAGGGGTAGGAGAGCGGGATGGGGGAGAGTGAGGGATAGGGGAGGGTGATGGAGGAGAGAGAGGGTTCGGAGAGGGTGATGGGGGAGAGAGAGGGGCAGGAGAGGGTGATGGGAGAGAGAGAGGGGCAGGAGAGGGTGATGGGGGAGAAAGAGGGGCAGGAGAGGGTGATGGGGGAGAGAGAGGGGTCGGAGAGGGTGATGGGGGAGAGAGAGGGGTCGGAGACGGTGATGGGGGAGAGAGAGGGGTGGGAGAAGGAGCTAGCTCGTGGAACTCACCTCCATGAGAGCATGGTGGAACTTTCTAAGAAATTCCTCATCGTCCAGCATGGAAGCATCTGCCTGTGGAGGCAAATCGGTCACACCGAGCTGCACATGGGTGGATAGGAGTCATGAGAGGAAGTAGAAGTGTCACGGGATATTGAGAACTCAAACATCCCAGGCAGGACGCAGCGACTGAAAGATGGAAAGAGAAAAACGGGTGACATGAGAAGAGGGATGAAACAGAAAGAACGGGGTTGAAGGGAGGAGGTTTAAGAGGGGTATTGTCAGAGTAACGAATTCCGTGACGAGAAGAATGAAACGGGTGAAGCGAATGGCAGGGAGAACCGAGATGGGGTTCAGAACAGCATGGGGAGAGCTGCTGGAGGAATCAAACCAAAGTAAGCAGGGACAGAGATCGCGGACTTTAACAAGGCAATAATGTCATTTCCAGGAAAACAGGTATCCCCTGTTGCAGATGAACGAAGGGAACGGCGAGCCTACCGCTTCAGCAGCCTCCCTTAGTGCTGGCCAATCAATCTTTGGAAACAGATGCCGTAAGAAGTCAGGATTGAAATCTGCTTCACGCTCCTCGTACTTCACCGCTTCAATCTTCAGCGGGTAACCTTTAGTAACCCCTTTTACCGTGCACTGCAACATGTTATGAGTCAAGAGCTTCATGATGACCCACAAGGAGACGAGAGAATGCTGAAAGTCTAAAACCACGTAAATGAGGTCGTTGCTGTTGCTCCAAGCAATATGAGGTACCGAAACCTGTGAAGCAATCTACGTCACGGAGCGAGGTATGCCAGTTAGACTAGGCTAGTCAGTTGTCACTGGGTTTGGGACGTGCGGACTTGGCGTGGGAACGATTGACAGTCGGAGATTTCGAGGTTTGTTGAATGATGGCGTTTCTGGGAATTGGGTACTGGAAGTGTGCCACAATTATGGTGGTTAAGGGTTTAGGGTTGGTCATCCCACCTTGTTTCAAACCAATTCTGTCACGTGGTCACGATGTCATAGCTAGGTTGTGCACTTGAACTGACACCGTGTCAACATTGCGGATTTCTTCCGCACACTACTATGTTCCACACAGATTAGAAATACGGCCTTTTCTTTCACGGATGCGCCGAAGTTGCTGATGTTTGCTGTTGAAATTGCACTAGACAAACCCCATTTATACCGATTTTTTTTCCGTCAAATCGTAGCATTGTATACACTACGAAATCGAAGAGTCACACGGAACACTCTCTTCATCTATCGAGGAGCCAGAAGCGCACCCCCATCCATTTAGCCGTTGTCAGCAAACCAGTCTGCACTCTCCAAACCTATTTCTATCTCGCGCCCACATCATTCTCGCACACAAAACAGCTTTCGTGTGCAAATCACAGCGCTCCGTCTGAACCAAACCCAACCACATCGGAGATGTCAGCGCCTCGACAGTCCATTCCCCCCACAACAGAACCATTTCCGCAACCCCTCCTCGGTTCTGGTCGGTAGGAATCCAGACCATTGACCATGTTTTTCTCGAGCCTAGGAAACAATGGAGGCACAAGCAAGGAAGTAGAGTGGTGCCATCATTTGGCAACGGCTGCGAGCAATATCATTCCTACGTTCATTGTCTCTGCTTAATCGTTTCACTTGGTTTTAGGTCACGTGTCCTGGGTGTGTCATTACAACGAATTTCATGCGTTCACTGCGACTAAGATTCTAGGAGGAGCTGACTGGTCACTACGCTAACGCTCTCGAGCTAGCTATATTTCCTGACAGTAAAACTAGTCCCTGATCGGAAGGATGCACTAGAATATATATCGTCGAAAGTACTGTCGCACCGTTAGGTAGGTTAGTCTACAATGGGGAATTCCAGCAGTATATCGGCTGCTGCTGTCGAGGAGGCCAAAATCCAGACTCACAGTTAGTATTCATCGCATATACTTATTCTAGTTAGTGATCCGTTTAAGAATGATCCTTAATCATCTCGTCGCCCTTTCTTACAGTGACTGATGAAGAAGTCCAAAGGCTCAAACGGAGATTCCAGAAGTTTGTCGGAAAGCGAAACACTGAGGCAACTCTCGAAGAGTTTTCTTCCCTTCCAGAACTATGTAAGCTTTGGTGTTCTTCGCAATATTTTGCAGACGCAATCCTGCCGATAGACTACTGACAGGCCAAGTTACTCTTTGTTCTTTTTGTGCAGCCAATAACCCATACGTCCCTCGTCTTTTCGCGCTTATGGACCTAGATCGCAACGGGAAAATCAACTTCTTAGAATTCTGCCTTGGCATGGGAATGTATCGCTCTTTGCGGAAAACGAGAGACGAAAAAATACAGCGTAAGTCTGCGGTAAATTTGTTCCATTACAATATTTATTTCCGTGTCGGATCTCAAGCTCTTCCTTGTGCTGGTTCTTCATTTCAGTACTCATGAAGCTTCATGATCGCGACAACGACGGAAAGCTTTCGATTTCGGAATTGACGGATCTTCTGTCTGTTACTGCGGGAAAGAGTCTTTCTGCAGAGCTGCTGGGTCAGGTAGGTTGGCGTCGTTTGACCCGTGAAGCACTTAGCGCACTTCTTTTTTATTTTCAGATGGTCTTCAACCTCACATCGTTTATGCTCGTTGCAGGTTGCCAGTTCTCTTCTTTCTGCGTACGATGCCGATAAGGATGGTAGTTTGAGCATTCAAGAGTTCTCCTCTCTTGTGGCAGCAACAGGAATGAGCAAAAACCTCTGATTCAGACTTGTCTTCGTACGCATCTGTTATGTGTAGATTTTAGTCCTTAGGACGTAGATTCCACCCTATATTGCCAAAGCAGTTGATGCTTGTGCACGCATCCGTTCGGGAAGGTGTCTCTCTCCCGAGGATTTATCATTCTGTGTTGTGTGGTAATAATATGGTACTATATACGAACCTATGATATAGAATCTCCTGTACAATTTGGGTTTGTCCTGAGTTTGTTGACATTTGTTGTACGAATTTTTGCTGGCTACCGGGTTTGCCAAGACATCTGACTGAATGATGATGATCCAGCACCAACAAAATTAGCCTGGAGGTAGCATTCAAATGCTTGTTTGGCAACAGCTTATCTGTTCCAAACTTCTCTCCGCGACTTTGGGTTGTTACCGATTGCAAGGTCACAATCTGCCTTCTAGGGTCCTCACTCTGCACTCTCGTCATATCCAGCCGTGTCCGCGTCTCCCCCGTGCGGTCCGACAAGCGCGATGCGACCCCCAGCCTCCGTTGCGTTAACTCCTCTAGCGAAATGGAAGCTCAAAGGAGCTGCGAAAGCAGCCAAGGCACAACCGATGCCGTCGCTGCTCCAGGAATTGGCTAGACTAGGGCCTTTGAGAGTTCATTTGGTTGACGGGGCAGTGGTAGCAGAAGTAACGGCTACCCAAGCGGCTGTGTTAGAAGCTGCCGCGTTCGGGAGAGAGATGGTGGATTGGGGAGGGGGGATAACAAGAATGAGTGAACCGGCGGTAGAGAAAACAGCTGGGGAGTCTGAGTTAAGGGAGGAGGCAGAGAGCGCTGCAAGTATTAGAACACAAGAAGACTCAGCAGCACGAGCAGGTAACTTTCTCACAACCGTGATTGCAAATAGAGGTCGGGTATTTCATCTGTCTCTAAATTGCATAATGCCCGTCACTTTGCTGAACCCAAATGCTGTTACGCACGTGCTGGTCTCAGCCTTGGTTGATTTACAACGGCTGTGTTGTGATGGGAAAGGCAGCCCACTCTCACAAGAGCCAACCGGCCAAGCAAGTCCCATCTCTTAAGAAAGCTCGTTTCTGGACCCTTGTCGTTCCCCTGTTCCTGTTGCAGCCAAAGAAGACGAGACCGGTTTTTCATCGGCAACAGCAGCAGGAGCAGCAGCAGTGGCAGCAGCAGGGGGAACACTGCTTTTGTTGTTTCTTCGAACCAGGAGTGGCACAAGCGTGAACTTGGATTGGCTTTCAGGCTTTCGTGCAGCTGCTACTGCGACCACCCCAGGCGCCACTGTTACTGCCAGCGCTGCCCGTGCTGTTGTGGCCTTAGTGGCAATGACAACCGTGACAATAGCAGGCGTTGCAGTGGGGATGCTCCCGTCAATTCGCCGAATCTTGCAGCATAGCACCAAGAGAGGAAGCGTCGATTGCTTCGACATGAGCAGCGTCAGCATACCTTTGAGTAACGAGCTTCCATCTTGCATTGTTCTGCTGTCGCTTGAAGAGCTGGTGTTTCTGTGCACTCATGTCAAGTGCATGGTGTATGTGGACCATGATACCAACATGCATACGGCGTGTGAAGGAGATTTGGAACGAAGAGCGGAGCAGCAGAGCATGAAACGAAGGGACGAGCCTGCAGCAGCCGCACCAAGTCAGCAGCTAGGGTTTCAGCAGACCAGCAACACGGAAGATGTCGGCAGGAGAGATCGTAGTGGTGGGGATGGTAACTGGAGCGGTAGTGCTAGCAGAGATAGCAGCAGGGGAGATGAGCACTCCCTTGGACCAACAGCAACATGGGCGGAGGTAAAAGATCAGGAGCTGGTGCAGTATGGTGAGGTGTGGAGGAGAGGGTTCGGGGCGATGGCAGCAGTGTATGGGCTGCTTAGAGGGAGAAACTGGGTGGTGCGACCAGGGTTACAGTTTGGCAGCCATTTCACAGCGTACCAACATCACCCCGCTCTCGTGCATTCCAAGCAAGTTTCACTGACCTCCGCCGAAGACGGGATTGGTCTGCAATAGCTATTGAAGTCTTGCTTCTGCTGCATCTTCTGCTGGTTCCTTCGCTCGTCCTTCTCGGTTCAACCATCTTCGTTCACGTGCGCGCTTGTGTGTGTCTCTGCAGACTATCCTACTTCCTTCCAGCCTATCCCTTCCCCTGTTCCACCCTTTACATGCTCTCATATTCCCCACCTTTCCCTGCTCACTCTTTGTGCGTGCTGCCATGGCTTGCCGTGCAGCTTCATGGTTCTGGTCAGTGGTCCAAGGCTCAACAATGCCATTCCAACATGGAACGATTTACATGCCACTGTTCGCCTTGCTTCCACTGTAGCCAAGGTGCGATGCTGCCATGCTTATTAGCTGTTTTTTGTGCTTCTCTTGCTGTTTTTGCCCATCCCTATAAGAGTGTGATTGGGTAGGCATGAAGTAACGGCTCGTAGCAGGCAAGAATCGGTGCTGCAAGAGGCAATGGTTTTCGTGTCTGAACAAACCAAATCTGGTTCCTGCTTGTTCTTTTAACCTAGGACCTTTCACAACCCCCTTCCCCCTTTATGTAATCAGCTGACCCCATTCGGTCTCGATCGATCCAAAATCTGCTGATTGCATACGCAGGACAGGAGTCTTGGAATCAAAGTAGCCGTTGGGAGCAGTTAAGGATTCAAGAGCACTCCACATCCTCCTTTCCTTTGATTAGGAGTGTTTTCCTCTGATAAGCCCAACCCGTTTGCCGTCGTCAATCCTTCCTTTGAATCCTTCCCGGTCTGTTTGTTTTCCACCGGTCCACCTCGGCTGTTGGTCAGAAACTACTGATTGCATATGTGGATGCGGAGAAGGCTGATGAGGACGGATTCAAGGGCCTTGAAGCAGATATGCTGGGGACGGAAATCACAGAGGCAAGTACTGGTGAAGGTGAGGAGAGGGGTGAGAGCAGGCAAAGGAGCCAGGAATGCAATAGCAGCAGTAAAGGTGGTGGGCAGAGTGGCAGCAGGGGCTGTGGTGGTGGTAGGTTGGGTGGTGGTGGTGGTGGTTGTAATGGTGGAAGCAACAGAACTAGTGCCGGATGTTCGAGTAATGATGGCAGGGGGGATGTAAGAAAACAGGAAGTGGTTATGTTCAGAGTGACCAAATGGAACCCGGAAAGGAACCGGGAAAAGCGCGCGCACAGATAATCAATCTGGGGTGGGGGGGGGGGGAGAGAGAGAAAGGGGGGGGGGAGGGGGGGGGGGGGGAGGGGAGAGAGAAAGGGGGGGGGCGGGGGAGAGAAGGGGGGGGAGCTGAGGATGTACCATGCCATTGCATGTATGCTTCCGTATGAATCATAACGCGCAAGATGCAGAACTGATGTTCCTAATTAGCACATGTTAAAACCGAAATATAAAATAGTGAAGGCGGATCCAACTTGAAATCGTGCTCGGAAGAAGCAAAACTGGAACGACGATGGGCTGTGTAAAACACTGTTCCGGGCATCGCCCTTCCACAGACTGAACACACGTGATTCGTTCCCGTCAAAAAAAAAAAATCAGATCGTGCTCGCGCGTTCGCATTTTCTGCATGCGACATTTGCACGACAGTTGTTTGTCGTGCGTTTTGATGGTTGGACCTGACTTCGACTTTCAAGCTGGGCCTGGGTTCCACATATGCTTACTTCAACTCCATTCACGTAGCTTGCCTAACTCACGGAGCTTGCCTAGCATAGAATAGCCAGAGACGAGGGATTAGGCTGATGCGGCATAGAAATGAAATTATCATTAGATTGTTTGTGATACTTCGTCGCCGTTGCTGCGTAGTGATATTTTCCTCGCGATCACAGAGAACCCCATTCCCGTCGCCATTCCTCTCACCCCTCTCATCGCCCACTATGCTATCCTCGAGTTCGCCAAATCGCCCACCCGTCTCCCTTTCCGTCGCGCGTCACGTCGCCATCTCGTCGCCCGTCCCGTCGCCCTCTTCGTCGCCCTCTCTCCCCTCCTCTCCTCCCGTCGGCCTCTCTCTCGCCCCTCCCTACCGATCGCCCTCCCGTCGCTCGCCCCGTCGCGCTCTCTCTCTCCGCTCCCTTCCCGTCGCCCTCTCTCTCGCCCCTCCCTTCCCGTCGCGCTCTCTCTCTCCGCGCCCTTCCCGTCGCCCTCTCTCTCGCCCCTCCCTTCCCATCGCTCTCTCTCTCTCCGCTCCGCCCTCTCTCTCGCTCCTCCTTCGAATCGCGCTCTCTCTCCGCTCCCTTCCCGTCGGCCTCTCTCTCCGCTCCCTTCCCGTCGCGCTCTCTCTCTCCGCTCCCTTCCCCTCGCCCTCTCTCTCGCCCCTCCCTTCCCGTCGCGCTCTCTCTCTCCGCTCCCTTCCCGTCGCCCTCTCTCTCGCCCCTCCCTTCCCGTCGCGCTCTCTCTCTCCGCTCCCTTCCCATCGCCCTCTCTCTCGCCCCTCCCTTCCCGTCGCGATCTCTCTCTCCGCTCCCTTCCCGTCGCCCTCTCTCTCGCCCCTCCTACCCGTCGCGCTCTCTCTCTCCGCGCCCTTCCCGTCGCCCTCTCTCTCGCCCCTCCCTTCCCATCGCGCTCTCTCTCTCCGCTCCGCCCTCTCTCTCGCTCCTCCCTTCGAATCGCGCTCTCTCTCCGCTCCCTTCCCGTCGCGCTCTCTCTCTCCGCTCCCTTCCCATTGCCCTCTCTCTTTCTGCTCCCTTCCCATCCTCCCTTCTCGCTCGCCTCGAATAGCCCTCCCGGCGACCTTCGACTCTCCCATCACGTATGCCCTCCTTTCTCCGTCGCCTCTCTCGTTCTCCCTCTGCTATCGCGTCAGCGTGACCCATTCCGTACTCTGTTATTGTGTTTGGTTTGTTTGTTTTTTCTGTCGTTCCATCTATTCTCGACACCCTCTCTCCCGCCGCCTATCCTCTCTCCCGTCGCCTATCTTTTCTCCCGTCGCCCTCCCGTTTCCCGTCGCCCTCCCGTTTCCCGCCCCCCTCCCGTTTCCCGTCGCCCTCCCTTTTCCCGTCGCCCTCCCGTTTCCCGTCGCCCTCGCGTTTCCCGTCGCCCTCCCGTTTCCCGTCGCCCTCCCGTTTCCCGTCGCCCTCCCTTCTTCCGTCGCCCTCCCTTTTCCCGTCGCCCTCGCGTTTCCCGTCGCCCTCCCGTTTCCCGTCGCCCTCCCGTTTCCCGTCGCCCTCCCGTTTCCCGTCGCCCTCGCGTTTCCCGTCGCCCTCCCGTTTCCCGTCGCCCCCCTTCTTCCGTCGCCCTCCCGTTTCCTACGCCCTCCCTTCCCGTCGCCCTCCCGTTTCCCGTCGCCCTCCCTCTTTCTCTTCATTCGCGTCACCTTGCCCATCATAATTTCCCCCCTAGTGCTGTTTTTCTCTTCTGTTTCCCGTTATTGCACCTCTCCCAGGCCTCAAGTCCAAGGCAGCACATTGATCAGAGCTCTACTAGCTCTAATAACGTTCAAACACTTTCACTCTCATCACGTACATGTGTGTCTGCTTGGGATTTAGCGTGAGATGTTGCTAGTTGTGAATTTGGTGAAGTATTGGCTCTAGTGAATGCAGGAGTGCTCGTCGCTCAACTTTGCGCCAAATTCGCACATGTACATGTGAGAGAACCTGGCTGCCAATCAGAATTGACAATGAACTATCGTTCCTGGTCCAATAAGAAACTCGTCCGAGGGTCGAAAAAAAAAGCACACATGCAGCAATTCCAACATTCCAAAACAAAACAAAAATACATCTTCAAGTGGACTCAACTAGAAGGGGGGGGTCGCTATTTTGCCTGCTGGCTTTAATGTCACAGCATAATGTAGCTTCGTTGCTGTACCTAGCTACCTGAATGGATTTCTATGTACTGGTAAAATCAAGCATCTATGGTACCATAACATCTACTATATGCAGAGTTGAGTATTTACACCCTAGACCAAAATTCCCGTACTGAGCTCCAAAAACTAATTTGGCGAAACAGATGCTCTTGTCTCATCCCAAAATAGAACTCCCTGCCCATCAAATTTAAACTGCAAAGCATAAACAACTTGGGCTTGTGGCCTTGACCACCACTATAACTGCACACAATGCATTTATTACCAGCAATTATACATATCCCACACCACATGCAGTGGGCTATAGAGATGTTCAACAAGCACAGATATCACAACCCTACCCATGTCAACGAATAAAATAATAACGATCGTCCGAAGGAGAGAAAAGGTACACGCACTACTGCGCTAAGGTACAGCCTCCTCCGGAAGAGAGCGAGAACGAATAAATTAGGGCTTCAAAAGGTGCAGTGAAAGGCCCAGCACAGACAGGCCCTAGCCCGCCTAGCTGGCCACTCTTCTTGAAGCTTCCTGCTTATGCCAAGTGCATGATAGATAGTGTCTGTCAACTAGTCAAACTCAAGCTCAACAATCACCCCACCACCACAGCCCTCCCTCCCTCCCTTCCCATACACACTCCTCTCCTCTCCTCTCCTCTCTCCTCTTCTCTTCTCGTCTCCTCTTCTCTTCTCGTCTCCTCTTCTCTTCGCGCTTTACGGGGGGCACTTGCAGAGCACTCTCCCGACGTAGAGACTTGAGGACGAGCACACGTAGGGGCTGTTGAACTTGTTGAAGTTGGTGCTGCTGCACTTGCAGATCTTGCATATGATGCCTCCACACGTGTCCCCCTTGACCACCGTGTACGTTCCGTACGTGCAGGATGCACCCACGATCGGGGCAGAGTTTACACACAGCTGGAACAAGCATGGGAGGTGGGGACGGGATGGGGAGAGGGGGGTAGAGGGTGGGGAGAGCGAGGAAGAGGGGGGATTAATGAAGGGGAGGGAGAGAGAAATGGGTGGGGGGAAGTGGGGAAGAGGGGAGGAGGGGGGGGGGGTGAGGAGAGAGGGAAGGGAGGAGAGCGGCAGGACACAGGGATAGGAAGGTGTGGACTGAGGGCAAGGTCTTAACAACTTTTGAGACGTCTCAAAAGGTGTGGTAGCCGGAGGGCAGGGTCTTTGCAATGAGACCTGATTTTTTTTAGAGCGACGGTGCACTTTTGGCAGGGTTGGGTTCAGAAGTTTTTGTTTTGAACCAGGCTTGCCAGCGCGAAAGTGTTGGCTGGCGATAACCAGGATTTCGTGCGGTCACTTCTCATCCGCAGTAACAGTTCGCTAGGGTTTGGGGTTTTGGGTAGCAAATGTGCACCGTCTCTTTAAAGCTGCGATCTACATACTTCGAGCGGGGGGGTCTGGTTTATCACTTGAAAACCAGGTGACCAGGTTTTTCACTCGGCCCCTTAGCCTGCAAATAGAACGGTTGAGGGGGGTGGAGAGAGGGGGGTGGGGGTCCCTTTCCCGATATCGAACTCCCCAAGTGGTTTCCGCCCTTCCGCGGACTCTTCCCCCAACCCACGAAAATGGGTTGGATTCGCGTGCTTGCTTGACTTCATCGCTCCTGTGTTTCAGAAACGAGTTGAATTCGCTTCCCAATCAGGCTGCGTGAAAGGGTGTGCATCGACAATACCCCCAAAAACGCAACTTAGTATGTAGACCGCAGCTTTAAGGGTGCGGCAAAAAGGGAGATCCATTGAGCACCACCTACCCTCACGCCATCTTCTCCTCCCCCTTCCCCCATCCCACAACCCCCATCCACACCCCACTCCCTCCCCCCCTCCCGCTACCCATTTCCTCAATCACACGCACCATCCCACCTCACCCACCCACTCTCCAACAACCCCCACCCGTGCACTTCGCCTCACCTCTTGGCCTACGAGCCGTTGCGAGCCGTCAGCAGCGCAGATGAGGCCGGGGTTGTACTGGTAGAGCTCAGTGGCGGAGATGGGCGGGTATGTGTTGAGCATCACGTCGTTGCATGTCTCCCCCGGGTTGACTGTGTAGGTGTTGAGACAGGTCTGCGGCACCGGCGCTCCCAGCTTTATGCACACCTGGCAGATGGCGGAGTGGAAGAGGAGGGGCAGGGGGAGCAGGAACATGTGGAAAGGGGAGGATTGAAAAGTGAGAATGCAAAAAAAAAAAAAAAAAAAAAAAAAAAGGAAAATTTACGGAAACGGTAGTTGAGATTGGGACCGATCAGAAACGAAAACGATTTCTTGGGGAGAGAACATCACGGGGAGAAGAGAAAGGAGGATGGGAAAGCGAGGGATAGTGCGTTGGGGAGCAGCCAAAAACAACTCAAAAGTAGCGAATCACTGTTGCAGTGATTTGGGCGCAGCTGGCAGGCAGGCAGTCAGTCAGTCAGCCAGTCAGTTAGTTAGTAAGTTTACCTGCTGTCCGGTGGTGAGGGCGTCACAATTGAGGCCAGGGTTGACAGTGGCGAGCTCTGCAAGCGAGAGACCAAAGGTGCTTGCCACGAGCGTGCATGTGTCTCCCTGATGGTGATCCAACGGTGGGGAAGGTCCGAAGGGGTCGACAGGGAATAAGAGATGAGAGGACAGAAAAGGGGAGCAGAAGAGAACAGGAGGAGCGAAAGCAGAGGATAGCAGGGGGGAGCAGGGCAGGGCAGGGCAGGGCAGGGCAGGGCAGGGCAGGGCAGGGCAAGGCAGGGCAGAGCAGGGAGAAGCAGAGGAAGTGGGAAGCAAGCAGGGGAGAAGGGCAGTGAGGGTGAGGGCACGGGAGTGTGAGGCGTGCAGCATGCAGTGTGCAGCATACCTTGATCAATGGTGATTGTGCAGGGCGCAGCACAGCCTGTAGCCGCCATGCTTGAATTTTGAGGTGACTCAAAAAAGAGGGCAGTTCGGGTGCAGGTGTGTGAGGCGTGCAGCTTGCAGCGGTCAGCGGACAGCAGGCAGCGGACAGCAGGCAGCGCACAGCGGACAGCGGACAGCGCACAGCGCACAGCGGACAGCGCACAGCGCACAGCGGACAGCAGGCAGCGGTAAGCAGGCAGCGGTAAGCAGGCAGCGGGAAGCAGGCAGCGGGAAGCAGGCAGCGGTCAGCGGACAGCGTACAGTGGTCAGCATACCTCGATGATTGTGTAGGGCACAACACAGCCTGTAGCCACCGTGCTCGCATTCTGCACCACGAGAACGGTGCCCGCTGGAAGGGTGCTCGGGCAGTCAACTCCCTGGAGTGGAGAGCATGTGGCATGAGACGGGATGAGACATGCCAGGAGAGAGAGCGAGACAGGGGGGGGGATTGGAGGGGCTGATGAGATAAGGGACGGGGAGGAACGGAGGGACGGGAGCTGACAGTGGGGGAGTGGGTGGGTGAGGGGGGAGGGGTGTGTGAGGAATTTGTCAAGGGAGAGACTGGCGAGGGCACGTGGCCGGGGTTGTCACATAGACTGGCGAGGGCACGTGGTGGCTGTGGTTGGGCACGTGGTGGCTGTGGTTGGGCACGTGTCAGGAAGGACCGTTTGAGAGTAACTCACGGGGTTAAGGGAGGAGAAATCCTTGTCTGAAATGAGGAAGGTGGAGCGCACTTGGTTGCACGTCATGTCCACTTGCAGAGTCACCTTGACCATCACGCTCCCCGGAATGCACGTCGGAGACGTGTCTGTGCGCTGGCCCAGCACGTAGCCTGGCGAGCAGAGGCAGGAGTAGCCGCCCTTGTTGTCGTCAATGCACGTGCCGAAGCCACACGGGTTCATAGCAGAGAAGGAGCAGACATTGGCTGGAGAGGGGTGGGTGGGAGGGTGCGGGGGGGGGAGGGATGGGATAGGAGGAGGGGTTTGCAGGTGTGGTGCAGCTTTGTTTCCAAAGATTCAGTCTAGAGAAGGGCAAGGCCACGGCAAAGAGAAGGGCAAGGCCACGGCAAAGAGAAGGGCAAGGCCACGGCAAAGAGAAGGGCAAGGCCACGGCAAAGAGAAGGGCAAGGTCACGGCAGCGTCGAGTGACCCCTCTTATCGAGTCATGCCACATCACGCGCCATGCCACGCCACACCACGTCGTCATGCCTCGTCACGCCACGCCACGCCACGCCACGCCACCCCATGCCTCGTCCCGTCTCGTCTCATCTGTGCACGTACGTACCAATGGCGCAGGTCTGCGTCTTATCGAGGTTGGTAACAGGGGTGAACCCCGAGGGGCACGTGCACTTGTTGCGTGCGCCGCCGTTGCGTTTGGCCTTGAGGGGCGTGCACGTGCCGCTGCCACATGGGTTGATTGGCCCACACGGGTCTGGAGCTGAAGTCAAGGGAGCAGGGGGGAGCAGGGGGGAGGGGTTGCACACAGGGGAACAGGGAACGGGGTAGGGAGGGGAACCGGCGGGAGGGGGAGGGGGGGGGGGGGAAGGGGAGACAGACCGAGGGACAGAGTGAGTTCATGCGGGACAGAGAGAGTTCATGCGGCTGATAAAATCCAGACAGAAGGGAGCCGTATGGAAACGCTTTCTATGTCATGGGTTCTTTGCTTTACAAACTCCAAGCCTCCTCCTCCCCCTCCTCCTCTTGCATTGTATGATGAGGTGATTCCACAATCGACTCATCATATTTCGCTTTACAAACTTAGAGCCGCCTCCTCCTCCTCGCATCGTACTTGAAAGGACAGGGTAGAGGCCTGGCAGGGTGTTCATGCCGCAGATGCCGGGGCCGCCCGCAATGGCGATCTTCATGTAGCCATTCTCGCCCCACGATGGGCCCCATGAGTTGCGGATGATCCAGTGGGGCGTCGCGTCCAGCAGGTTGAACCCCACCACCACCACCAGATGGTCCACGACTTGTGAGGAGAAGCACTCAGGGTCGTTATACACGAATCCCTGCATGCATACACGCATGCCATATGGCAGCCATTCCAAGATTTGGCATTCAACATACATAAACCAAGACTTGACCCGTGGTTAGAACAAAATAAAAGAAAAGAAATGAACAGAAATGAACAGAAACCAACCGAGCACGAATCGAGAAGGACTGCGCTACTGAGACTTGTCGAGGGCACAAGCGAAAGAGAACGCGGCAGAGTGTCGCAGCGGCAGACGCACACACGCAAAGCAAACGTACCCCGACGAACTTGATAAACGAGTCGGATCGAGCCTCGACATACACCACAACGGGCTGGGCTTGCACCGCAATGGCGATACCCATCCACCCTCGGATCTGCACTTGCTCGAACATGGCAATCCCGTATGGCTCCGTCGGCATGGAGAAGCTTCCATCCGATCCCCTGCCCCAGAACAGGCTGGAGCCCCATCCGTTCGCACGCAGCCGGCGGCTCGACGCAAGGCGCGCCGACGCAGCATCTGCAGCAGAGGAGCTGCCGCTGCTGCTGCTGTCTTCTGGAGAGAACAGAGTTCTTCTCAGGACCTTGCATTGGTCTGAGCTGGGAACGCCAGTGTAAGGGTAAGAGGCCGTGGAGGGAAGGCCACCGGAAGCGGCGATGTAGTTGAAGGCGTCGTCGGGGCGGCCGCCCGTGCAGGACCAGGTGCCCTGGCAGTCGATGGCCTTCTGCTCCGCCAGGCTGGGCGCCGCTGCGCCGTACACTATCGCATACAGCGCCTCCGCCGCCGCAACCGGCGCGAATATCCAACACGCCGAGCACAGCCCCTGGTCCTTGGCCGGCTGTAGCACCAAGGGCACCTGCGCCCGCCAGTCCACCGTGGGTGTTATTTGCCACTTGGGGGAGGTGGCGTTGCCGGTGAAGCCAAGGGAGCCGTGGCGGAAGTAGGAGTTGAAATAAGAGCCGGAGACTAGCGCTGTTTGATCCAACTGGGCCCCTCGGAACCCTGCAGTGGAGGGAAGGGGGAGAGGGGAACAGTACGATGGGGGAGAGGGTCAGGTGGAAAAGGGTGGGAAGGATGCGGAAGGGAAGAAGCGATGTACATGGAGAATGGGCAAGGCGATATTGCTTTTTCGTGGAATGGTTTAGGGTTGGGATGGAGACAGCTAGGAATGAGGTGTCGAAGAGAGGAGCAAGCGAGGAGCAGCAGGGGGAGCAAGCGAGGAGAGGAGAGGCACTCACGTCTCTTGCGGAGGCTCGTGTTGTCCCATGATCCCGTAGGGGCTGTGGTGACCATCCATGGCACGATAGGGAAAGAAGGGGGCGGGAGAGGGAAAGAGGAAGAGAGCGAGATGAGAGAAAGGAGAGAAAGGTGAGTCCACGTGCGTATGTTTTTTGAGAATTCTCAAAAAACATAGGCAGAGGGGCATCGGAAAGGGGAACGGAGGCGATAAGACAAAGAGCATGAAACAGGGTGTGGGGTAAGGCACTACGGCGCAAGCTACAGGGTCAAGCCAGGGACAGTCACTTGTGCGATGGCCAGTTAGCTGGTTCCTGTGAAATCTCAAAACCAACAAGCCAGCAGCAAGGGTCAGGTTAGGGTCGGGTTAGGGTCAGGTGAGGGTGAGGTGAGGGTGAGGGTTAGGATGAATGAATGACTTACGAGGGCCAGCAGCCACAGGGTAGGGCATGCAGGACGGGTACGAGACGACCTGGTCCTTCCCAAAGGGCACAGTGAGCGTGGCGTTGAACGTCCCCGGGTTGCACACGCATGTAGGCACGTTGGAAGGGCCAGTCAGCATGCACATGCCGAGGCCGTTGCACGGGCCGGTGGGGAGAGCCGCGCCGCAGAAGGATACACATTCGACTGGCCGGCGTTGCTCGCCGATAGGACAGCCAGAGGAGCCGGGAGTCGGAGTGGTGGTGGTGCTGGTGCCATCAGTGGGAGCAGCAGTAGCAGCGCCAGCAGCGGTGTTGCTGTTTGAGTTATAGTATCCGTCGCCGTTCACGCGGTTCGCCCACCGGCCGCCGCCTCCCCGCTTCGACCCGCGCCAGTTGCTCCTCGCCTGCGAGTCCGTGAAACTCTCCGACTTGTTCCAGTACCCTCCGAGAAAGCAGTTGCCCTTCTGGCTTCCGTAAAACGACGCGCCGAAGACGACAAGGTTCGCCTCGCCGTACCCTCCCTTGAGTGTGGCCGGGCAGAATTCGGAATCGCCCGCGATATACGCGGCGGGAGGGGTGATGAAGTAGTTTCCCGAGAGGTCGTACGTGGCCTGGGCTTGGTCGGCCATGGATGGCGAGATAAAGGAGAAGATGGGGGTGCCAGAGAGCTGGTTGTTGCTGACGTCCAGGAAGAGGAGGCTTGGCAGCGAGCCAAGCACGTTCGGGAGACGCCCGTAGAAGAAGTTCCGGCTAAGGTCGCTGTTGAGGTGGGGAAACGAGGGGGAGGGGGAGGGGGCAGGGGGGAAGGAGGGTGGGTGGGGGAGGGGGAGAGGGGTGGAGAGGAAAGAGGGGTCATGAGAGGGGATGAGGGTGGAGAGGGTGGAGAGGGTGGAGAGGGTGGAGAGGGGTGGAGAGGGGTGGGGAAAGAGGGGGTGGGATAGGGCTGGGTAGCGCGCTTCTTGATCGTTCTTATTGGTGAGGTAGGCCGCCGAGGAAATGCTGTGGAAAAAGTGGAAACGGAAAAGCTTGCTTTGACGTGGTTGCTATTGAGGGAGAGAGAAAGGCTTGGAGGAGGCTGCATGTGTGGAGAGGGTGTTTTTGAGACGTCTCAAAAACACCCTCTCTACACGGAAAAGCTTGCTTTGACGTGGTTGCTATTGAGGGAGAGAGAAAGGCTTGAAGGATGCCGGAGAGCAAAAACGCGAGAATGGTTGCGAGCAGGAGGAGGGGGGGAGTGGGGAGGGGGTGTGCTTGTTTACAGGGCGAGGAGCGAGCGAAGGTTGGCAACGGCGACGGAGATAGTACCCGACAAGCTGTTGCCTCCTAGTAGGCTGGCGGACGGGGAGAGACAGGGGGGAGTGGGGGGAAACGAGAGGCGGGGGGAAGGAGAGATGGGGATGAAGAGATTGGCAATTGCGACAGAGATGGTACCCGACAAGCTGTTGCCTCCTAGTAGGCTGCGGTGGGGTGAGGCGAGGGAGAGGGAGGGGGGTGGGGAACGGGGGAGCGTGGGAAGGGAAGAGAGGTTGGTGATGTGGTTGCGGAGGCGAGAGGAGCGAGGGAGGGGAGCGGGACACGATGGGATGCGATGCGATGCGATGCAGTGCGAAGGGTGGATGGCGAAAGGAATGAAAGGAAGGGAACGGAGAAGAAAGCGAGATCACGTCTTCATTCGAGCTGAAAAAAAAAAAAAAGACAACTGAAGGAAAGGGGCAGAAGCAAGGAACAGGCGCAGGAGAGAAAGCAGGGCAGGCGGGCGAGGGTAGGGGAGTGAGAGGAGAGAGAGGGAAGAGAGGGGAGCGAGGGGAGAGAAGGAGGCGCACAGGTGTTGCAGGTTGGAAAGAGAGTAGATGCTGCGGGGCAGGGGACCCGATAGCTGGTTTGCTCCCAGAGATCTGTGCGGACAGAGGTGATGCCAAGGGACAAGGATGGCATGGGGTTGCGGAGTCTATTTTCGAGGGGCGCCTCAAGAATAAATATCGCTCCCAGAGGTCTGTGCGGTGCGGACAGAGGGGACAAGGATGGCGTGGGGTTGCGGATGGTGATGGGAATGGGCAGGGCCCGAAAGGGGAAGCTGAGAAGAGACGCGCAGATTGAATCAAATCAGATCGGATGGAAACAGACGTAAGGCAGCGTTGCGAGTAAAAGGGGATTGATTGAAGTCACGAGGCAGGGGCAGCGAGGCAGGGTGGGAAAGGGGAGGAGGGGGACGGAGGAGGGGGAGGAATAAGGGAAGAAGTGGAAGGGGGATGGGACGAGGGGAGGGAGAGAAGGGGGGGGCACGACACGAGGAGGAGCGGCGTACAGCGTGGAGAGGAGATTGAGCTGGGAGAAGCTGTCGGGGAGGGGCCCGGAGAGCGCGTTGGTGCTCAGATCGCTGCATGGGGGAGGGGAGGGAGGGGGTGGGGGGAGAGAGGAGGGAGGAGTGAAGGGAAAAGTTGTGGAGGAGCGAAAAAGAGGGAGAGAGAAAAGGAGGGATGGGGGAATATATGGAAATGGAGGAGACGAGAAGGGGGTGGAAGAGAGCGGGGAGCGGAGTACGGAGTGCGGGGAGAGCGTACAGCACTTGGAGATTGACAAGGTTGAACACACCGGAAGGGATGGAACCTTCCAGGAAATTGCCGCTCAGTGACCTGAACGCACAGACGAACGGGAGGGCGGGCAGGGAGTAGACGGTCAGCCGGGCAGTGGAAATGGCGAGCGCGCAATTTCGAAGCGTCTCAACAGACAGGAGAGCGCGCACAGGCAGCAGTTGAGCGGAAGGGAGAAGCAGAGGGGAGGAGCGGAAGCGGAACGCAGAGGAGGGGAGAGGAGCGGAAGCGGAAGCGGAAGCGGAAGAGGAGCGGAAGGCGTACAGGTTGGTGAGGGCGGAGAGGTAGTCGATGGACGGCGGAATGGGGCCCGCGAGAAGGTTATGGTCCAGACTCCTGCTCATCGCATGGCCCGCGGGAATGCCATGAAAGTAGGGGAAAAAAGGGAAGCGCGGTTATGGTTATGGTTATGGTCCTGGCTCTTCTTGCTCATCGGTGTTTAGGTGTGTTTTGAGTCGACTCAAAACACACCTGAACGTAGGGGAAAAAGGGGAAGCGCGGTTATGGCTATGGTCCTGGCTCTTCTTGCTCATCGGTGTTTGCCGAATATTGTGGGAGTCGGGAAAAAACGGAGCGGTTATGGGTGTAGTGCTGACCAGTGGTGCGCGGAGTGGAGCGGTCGAGTGGAAATGGGGAACAGGAAACGGGGAGAAACCTGGGGTGAGCGGAACGTGTGCGCGGGATGTTGGGCACAAGCGCGACACGGGACCTGAGCAGAAGCGCGCAGCTAGGCAGCCCGCCGCGACGACTCACGACGCGTAGACCCCAAGACTGTACACAGCGCGACGATGCGGCACGCGGTGCAAGGGACGGAACGGCAGAAGATAGACAGGGGGGGCGGGCGGGCGGACGGATGGGCGGAACTCGGGGCGGACGGGCGGAACCACTGGCGGAACCACTGGCGGACGGGCGGAAGAACGGGCTGGCGGAAGGGCGCGCGGGCTTACAGCGTTTCGAGCGCGAAGAGCTGAGCGACGGCGTCGGGAATGGTCTGCCCCGCAAGGCCTGCGCGGTCCGTGATTACCCTGGTAATAGAGGCGAGCGGGCGAGACGGGCGAGACGGGCGAGATGGGCGAGATGGCGGAGATGGGTGAGAGGGAGTAAAAGACGGTAAGTAGGGGTGACAGGTGGAAGGAGTGCAAGTGGTCGCCTTGAAGAGAGCATTACGAGTGCATAAAAAGTGGTGACGTGTCACTCTCTGGCACTCGGAAACTCTGGCACTGTCGTAAGCCCGTCGTTTTCTAAGCGGCGTAGTTGCTACTATAAGCGGCGAAGTAGCTAGTAACGGAGTTAGGGCGCGTACATGCTGGTGACTTGGCCCATGGCGTTGCACTTGAGCCCCTCCCATTGCGCGCAGTCGGCGGCGACAAACCACGAGTTTGTTAGCGGAATGTACGGCCCCCACGCGTCCGCAATGGCGCGCAGCGCAGGTTCTGGTCGCGCGGAGGGAGGGAAAAAGGGGGAAGACGGAGGGGAAGGGGGGTTGAAGAGAGGGGGTGGGGGAGGGGGGCGGCGGGAGGGGAGACGGGAGCGCACGCGAGGGGAAGTTGAGGCCGAGACGCCGAGCGCAAGACGGGAATCGGCGCAACGACGAACCGAATGGCAATTGAGTCATCTTGCGGCTCAGTGAATGAAAGGCAAGGTAGAAAGGAAGAAAAAAATAGGGGGAGCAGGCGGAGAGAAGGTCACAAGAGAGGCTGTACGCGTGGGAACAGGAAGACTGGTGTGCGGGAAGGGAAAACACGATCACAAGAAATAGGAGTGGGGAAGAGAAACTCAATAATTTTGAATGGGCGGGAGAGAGTCTCACGTTGGCTGTTCGCGACAGGCTGTGCGTGGGCGAAGGGGAGCAGGAGGAGGAGAGAGGAGACGCAGAGAGGGAGGGCGGCGAGGAGTTGCCGCGGTGGCGTGACCAAGGGCTGGCGGTGTGGCCCCATGGATCTACCCTACAGTCTACCGCTCAATGTTGTGTTAGCTACGTGTCGGCAGTGCTCGCAGCAGCAGCAGCAGCAGCAGCTCGAAAGGTGCCTATGCTCGGCGATGAGAGCGGTCAGAAAAGAGGTCGAGGCACAACGGAATACGGAAACGTAGATGTGGGTTCGTTTTGGTCTTGTGAGAGAAAGGCGAAGGGTTCGTGGGGAATGAAGTGCTGAAACCTGGAGTTGTCGAATTGAACAATTATTGTGGGAGCTCGCCTTTGTGTGCGTGGAGAGGAGAGCGACAGTCTGGCGCACAGAGGGGGAGCACTGGATCAGATTTTGCATGGCTGCCGAGCAACGCCCAGGTTAACCTTGAACGCGGTCGTGCTTCCTGGTTGGGTTGGGTTGGGTTGGGTTGGACCTATTTAAGCTTGTTTGGTTTGGGTTTACGGGCGTGTGGTGGGGTGCGGTGGTTGCACACGATTACACGGGACGAGTTTTGTAATTTTCGCTCGTTTCGCACATATTCGCAATTCCTCGTTCCGGAAGTACGGTTACCTACCATAGCATTATGGAAGATGGAATCTGGATGGCAACGAGGGCGAGGATGGGGACGTGGCAAGGCAATGCTGCAGCTGGCTGCCTCACCTGCCCTACAGAGCGTCGCCTTTCAGTCAGGTTACAGTATTTCGCCAGCTTCGTCTCACCTCGTCAGCCTCACACGTGTGAGAAGCGATTGCTCCTTGTGATTCGTAAAAGCCTGTTTTACTGTATCTGTACACCAGCAACACCTGTCTGATACGATATTGCTTTCCCACATCTTCCGTATGGTTGCTTGGTTGCCTGTCTCTCAAGCTGCTTTCCCCGACCGCACAATGGAGCAGTGATTTCCTGCACCAACCTTTCCGCGTCACCCTTGAAAGGCGGGGAGGGCGGACGGGAAAGGGGGAGTGCAACCCGCACTTTGCACAGAAAACATCTGGAGAATGGGCAGGATTTCTTTGCGGCCGCAGGCAGGAAGCGCAGGCGTTTTCCCCCTCAGCTGGACAGAGGGAAGCAAAGAACATGACTGATAAGCACTCGCTAATAAGACAACTGACTGCTGCTTTCAGCTCGAGACCAGACCAGATCGAACAACCAGCCGCTACCTACCATACCGTACCCTCCCATCCCATGTTCAGCGATTGTACAGTACAGAATGACCCACTACAGTAACGGTCGTGTGGCCAGCAGTAACGGCCGCAGGCTGGTTGGGTTGGGGCTTCCTCGTTTGGCCTCGCTGCTTCTGTTGCTGCCTCCGATGCATCATTTACAGATGTTGTGTCTTAGAGGCCTTTCCTAAAAGAGTCCCTTTTCCTCAGCCAGTAGAATTTTCACATAAGTCCTAGGTGTATCCCCCTCCTCTACAGTCCCCGTTTTGGCGGGAAATCTTGCATCTTGACTGGATCATTGCACGAATCTTTGCCAATCAGAGGACGCAAATCGAACCAGTCAGAACATCACCGAAAATAAAACATTATTCACTATTTACTTTTGCGGTTGTGATTGTCTGCTTATCTTTACCGCGCTTGTGTCTAAGTCCTGTCGCGCGGTTCCCCGCGAGCTCCGACGATGCAATCTCATTAATCTCGCTTACAGTGTAAAACGAAAAATGTTGTCTGTCGTTTCGGCCTTAAACATATTGTTTTTGTATTTTCCTGCCCGTTTGTTCTGTGACACTGATCAACGCGGCGAACCGTGCAACGAGAAGTTGAAGACAGCGTAGTCCGAATGTACGTATGTGACAGGCAAACACGACTAGTAGCGAAGGAAAATCACTCTTTATGCAATTGTCCTTGTATGGGACTAAAATTTCCCTTTTGCCCGGGGTTTGTGAGGTTCCCACAAAGGCCCGCAGCGCGCGTGTTTTTCACGGGGACTCTAATCGAGAACATTTGTACCCCTGCACGATCATGTTGCTCCACCTCTCCTCACCACAATATGCACCACAAGGCAGCTCGGGCAGCTCGAGATTCCTTGCGAAATTCTACCATCACCGTACACACCTCACTCACATTCCTGAATTGCTGTCCAGATTTTATTGTCCACCAACCTCGCTTTCGACCACGCTTCAGGCTGGCCCACGAACTGTACACTAGCTCGACCGAGCTGGGTCTCTGCCTGAACTGGACTGGCAAGTAGGTTGGTTGGTGGTGCGTGGGTTGCTGCCACGCATGACTCGAACCAACCAAATCGACCAGAGGAAGCTGGCCACGTAGTGAAATAAGGGAAGGGAAAATATGCCATAAGGTCACAGATTCAATCACTAACAACAAGTGAAAAATCACGCGAATGGTCACACATGTAGCTCCCGCCAAAAAAACTTGAAACTCAACAAAATTCCCGCTCGCATCCCAACCAATCAGCCAACTTTAAGAAAAAATAACCCAATCGGAATCGGATGCGGTTTCGGAACGGACCAGCCCTAAACACCTGGCGAGCTACGTGTTTAGGGTTGATTCCGAAAATGCATCCAGGTTCCTGTTGAGTTTCATTTTGTTTTGGCGGGAGTTTCATCTATGACCATTCGCGTTTCTTTTACCAGCTGATAGTGACTGTTTACGTGAAACGTTTTATCAGTCGCGTGAAAACACCCTTTGCAGTGAACGTACCCTATATTATTAATATTAATATTATTATTATTATTATTATTATTATTATTATTATTATTATTATTATTATTATTATTATTATTATTATTATTATTATTATTATTTACCGAAAATGTTATCGAGTCCCATGCTGGTTACGAATGAAATATTTTTTCAACTCATTACTAACTAAGACCAATTATAATAAAAAAAATATAAATACACATGGGGACATCCCATGGACTTGCTAGGGGCGACTAACACACGAATAAATATAGAATGAATGAAACAAATGGAGGTAGTATCAACTCAATCCACAAGGGCAAGGATCTCGAATAGGTAAGTTCTTAGTTCAAGGCTTCGGTTTGCAAAGAGCCTTCCCCACGTAGAGAGTAGAGGTGGTGCATTTGAAGCCAGGATTGACAGCGTACATTGTGGTGTAGGAACACTTGAACACCTTGCACACTACACTCGCGCACGTGTCACCACGCACAACAGTGTAGACGCCGTAGCTGCATTTCACGGCACCAACAATCGTGGCATCCACACACACCTGAGCACGACAAAGAAGCGAGTGGAGGAGAGGGGCGAATGAGGAAGCAGGAAAGAGCAGAACAGAGAAGGGGCATGAGAACGAGAACAAACAGGCTTTGCAGTACAATATAAAGAATGGAAGCCATTGAACATCAAGCCACCGTACACAGAGGGTGAAGAACGCTCATTCAGGTTAGGAAAGAGAAATACCTCTTGGCCGACGAGCCGTTGCGACGTGTCAGCACTGCAGATGATTCCGGGGTTGTACTGGTAGAGCTGTGCTGGTGTGATTGGCGGATACGTGTTGATCATCACATCGTTGCACGACTCCCCCGGGTTGACCGTGTAGAAGTTGAGGCAGCTCTGGGGCTGAGGTGTGCCGGAACTGATGCATATCTGCAACAGGAAACCAGTAACAGCAGGACAAAAAATGTTACAGTACATTGAATTTGTGGCTTAACTGTCGCATATCACCACGAAGGGTGTGCTCCTGGACAAGACATGAAGGCTGATACTGCGTTTCTAGTGGCAGCAATGTTGAGAACGGAAATCAAAATGCCAGAGTGGGGTCGGGCTGTTTAACGAGAGAGAGAGAGAGAGAGAGAGAGAGAGAGAGAGAGAGAGAGAGAGAGAGAGAGAGAGAGAGAGAGAGAGAGAGAGAGAGAGTAATCGAGCGACTGACTGACCTGTTGCCCAACTGCCAGTATTCCGCAGTCCAGATCAGGGTTGGTGGCATTGAGCTGCGCCATGGTAACGTTGAACATTGCCATGATTGTGGCGCATGTGTCGCCCTGAGAGAGGAAGGGAGAGGGGAGAAGGGACAGAGGGAGAGGACTTTTGAGACGTCTCAAAAGTCGGCCATGGTAACGTTGAACATTGCCATGATTGTGGCGCATGTGTCGCCCTGAGTGGAGGTGAAGGGAGGGGAGTTGGAGGAAGAGGAGTTAGAGACGTCTCAAAAGTCGGCCATGGTGACGTTGGACATTGTCATGATTGTAGCGCATGTGTCGCCCTGAAAACGGTGGGAACGAGGGAGTGAGAGGGGAGGAGAGAGGGAGATAGAGAGGGGTTCAATGCAATAGAAAGAGGCAGGCAGATGGAAAGCCAAGAGGTAACCAAGCAGCATGCTCAAACGGACGAGAATCGATAAGGGAAAGGTGTGACAGTGAAATAGAGGAACACTGTCACTCAGAGCAACAGCACTCACCAGTTCCCCACCTGAGCAACAGCACCGACCCGAGCACCTAACTGAGCACCCACCTGAGAACCCACCTGAGGCACGGCACACACCTGGGCCACCGTGTAGGGTACGATGCAGCCAGTGACATTGGCGCTGGTCTGGTTGGTGTTGCGCGTGACAATGACCGTGCCAGGCGGGAAGGTGCCCGCACACTTGAGCTTCTGCAGAGGGGAGGGCAGGGAGGGAGAGCGGGCAAGGGGCAGGACGGGTAAGTTAGGACTTAATCACAACGGGTTTATCTGTGGTGAACGGCAAACGGAGATGGCAATGGTGAGTGCAACAAGGGAAGCCACGAGGGTTGTTGCAGGGAAGAAGGAGCAGACAGACGCGGAAAGAGAGCGGGGTGCGAAGCGAAGGTAGGAGAGAATACCGGGTTGAGCTGTAGGTGGCTTTTGAGAGAACATCCGCCAGGAGAGCCGTGTTTTGAGTCGACTCAAAGCATGTAGGTGGCTTTTGAGGCACGACAGAAGCAGCAGAGAGGAGGGAGGGAGGGAGGGCACGGAGGTGGAGAGAGAATCGAACGGAACGGAGGAGCGTACCGGGTTGAGCTGTATGAACGTCGACCGGGAGAGCATGTAGGTGGAGCGGATTTGACTGCACGTCATGGCTGCTTG